TCAACCAGAGAGAAAACACGCCCTCCGCGGTAAAAAGCCTGGAGGTGCTGTGGTTTTTAGTAACTTGATTTTAGTGCTTTCGTGGCCTCGCTCTACTTTGTAGCAGTGCGAAGGCAGACGTGCAAGCCAGGTTCTTACTAACTCACTTTCATGCCTGTGTAGCTGTGCATGTGTGTGTACGTGGGTGTGGAGGCCACATACTCCAGGCTGGCTATCTTCCCCTGCTATTTTCTTCTGTGTCTTTTGTGGTAGGACCTGTCCGTGAACTTGCAGCAGTTCTCCAATTAGGCTAGACTGGCTGGTAGCCTAAAAACAAACAAACAAACAAACAAAAAAAGCTACCCATCTTTGACTCTTTTTACACAGGTTCTGGATTTTAAACCTAGGAACTCACACTTTACCCACTGAGCCGTCTCCTCAACCTTAAAGAAACAGAAACAACAAAACAAACTCAAGAAACTCTTGATTTATCAGGTAGTCTCTACCTCATCATCTCAGGGGTGGTGGGGTGGTGTTGTAAGCCAAGACATGTTGGGCTGCCGTATGCCACAAGCTGTGTCACATTGGGCTGCCGTAAGTCACAGGCTGCACTGTGTTGGGGGCTTCCATATGTCTTGGGCCACCTTTTGGGGGTGTCTTTTGCCGGGCTCCTAGCTACGGTGAGCTCATATATTCCATTGTAGGGGCGTGAGAAATAGAAAAGTTAGGTAGAGAAACAGAGATAAGGATGAAACACAGAGACGTAAGATAGTACTGGGAGGGCAACCCTGAATTCTAACTTCTGAGTTCGCCTGTGTTTAATTTTCCACACCCCAATACAAAAGGGGGGAAAGACAAAAAACTGTCTTAACCTAATACAGAAGACAAATAGAACATTTTCTTACTTCAGTACTTTGAGATATCAAGCCAATAATTCATGAGAAAAGCATTCTGTTGTTTAGGCATTGAACCCACCCTAGACTAAGTATCCAGAGGGCAGCCACTCCCTAGGTCAAACCTTCTACTCCAAAAGAAGGAGCAGAAGTATGCTTGAATTCTCTGGCTTTTGGTCAGGGTGGAGTGGATCTACCTCATGGGCCCTCTTAATGTCCAAACACCAAGTAACCACACCCTAGGTCAGGGTGTAGCCACAGTTGTTGTCAGCAACACAAGCAAGTTGAAGCTCTCTGACCTTCAGACAAGGTGGACTAGGCTCACATTTTTGGGCCCTCACAGGTGGGTGGGTGGAGATGCACGGCACAGTGGCATTACCAACTCTGTGGGCTGGCTGGGGCATGACTGAGTGAGAAGACATGGCAGAGGCATGAGAGGCGAGAGCTTGGCATGTAGGTTCAGAAGCTGCACGTTAGAAATGCTGGCAGGCAGGTCTACAGTGGTTCTGAAGAGGGGACTTAGCGCTACGGTCCTCATCTCTTGATAGGATGCACTGAATTAACTGGTGAAGTCAGGAGGACAAAGGGCGTAGACAGAACTGATAGTGTTGGGATGGTTTGGGAAGGAACCTTGCTCCTCTTCCTCCTTTGCCAAGTCTTTCCATACACCTTGTCTGTCACAAAGTCACACACAAAGAGTGACCTTCTCCCTCTGTTAACAGTGTGTGACTTTGTGACAACCTATTTTAGAATTTAGAGAGGCCAGCTTTTCTGAAATCTATGTATTCTCTCTCTCCTCCTCTCCTCACCCCCCATCCTGTACATGTGTGTACAGGTGGTTGTGTAACAGGTGGTTGGGGCCCAGAGGTTGACATTATGTGTCTTTCTAAGTGGCTCTTGACTGTATTTTTTTTTTTTTTTGAGACAGGGTACCTCACTGAACCTGGAGCTGGCCAGTGAGATCCGGGGAGTCACATCACCTCTCTCTGCTTCCCTAGTGTTGGCATCTATGGTCATGTGCCATTGTGCCCAGCTTTGTACATGGGTATTAGGGGCTCGACTCAGGTCCCCGAGCAAGTGCTTGTCCAGCTGAGCCATCTCCCCAGCCTGAGAAGATCTCCTTAAGTGATTCTGTGACTGTTTTGTGTCCTGCCTAGGATGTGTCTCACCGTGAATGTTACCAATAACTTGACTAGGACCCCATGTTACAGTCCCAGGAGGTTCCCAGCCTGAGAGCTCATCCATGTTAGCTCATTTTCCTTCCCTGGGGAAGGAAGGAAAACAAAGCCGCTCCTTCACCCTCTTGTGTCTGTAGCAGTGGCAGTGATGGTTGGAGGCCACAACCCATGCATGCATGCAGCCACAACCCATGCATGCATGCAGCCTCCCTTCTCACTCTTGCATTGTTGACTGCAAAACCTTCCTCAAACACTCTTAATATCCCTAGAGGATGGCTAGGAAAACAAGAGATTTGTTTGACTCTGTGGTTTCTCCAATGAAGGCTATTTTGGCCCTAGAATATATCCAGCAATGTCTGGAGGTTTTTTATTTTAATTTATTATTATTAATATTATTATTATTATTATTATTATTATTATTATTATTATTATTTTGCCACAGTTAGGGACTCCTTGCTGTTTTGTGGTGTGGTGTGGTGTGGTGCTCACACAGAATGCTCTCATGCTAAACAACCAGGAACATAGACTTCAGTGTTCAGGACGCATTCGTGCTCTGTTCCAAGGAGCTTGTTTTTGTGAGGCCTGGTGGAACATGTAACAGTCAGATGTGTAAGAAAGGGACTCTGTTCTTTTGTGTAAGCTCCACAAAAGACTATCCCTAGTAGTTAGAGTATGATCACATCCTTAGAATATGATCACATCCTTACTAGTTTAAGAAGTATTTGTGAACAATGATTACTCTAGTTTTTATTTCAGCATTTTTCTAAATCTGAATACAGTTAATGTCAGGTTCTCCAGCATGGCTATGAATGTGGAACTGTGACCATCAATAACCAACAAGAATTGTTGTAGGAGGCTGCTTGTTCACTTCCCAGGTGCCCAGACTCTCAAAATAACCACACAGAAACTGTATTAATTAAAACACTGCTTAGCCTATTAGCTCTAACTTCTTATTGGCTAACTTTTACATTATAATTTAACCCAGTTTCATTATTTTACATTTTACCATGAGGCTCATGGCCTTCTGGCAAGGTTCCAGCACATCTGTCTTCACCAGAGGCTCTATGGCTTCTCCCTGACTCTGCCCTTTTTTCTCCCAGCATTCAGTTTAGTTTTCTCCACCTAGCTCTACTCTACTCTATCACAGGCCTAAGACAGTTCCTTTATTAACCAATGGTATTCACAGCATACAGAGGGGAATCCCACATCAAAAAATACTCTTCTTTTAAAAATGAAATTGTCCAGCATAGATGAGGAAGGTGTTTTTCAACCCTACCCCTACTGAGGAGTCAACTGATAGGTGCCGGAGGAGGAAGAATCATTCTCCTTTGACATTGTGTATGGCCACTGTAGGTAGACTGTCCTACATCCGTGCACATATGAGTAACTCTAGTTAGACAGTGGGTTATCAGAGAGAGGAAGGGAGAAGAAGAAGGAAAGGGGGAGGGTGGAATGGAGAGAGATAGGGGAAAGACATAAAGTTGTATCGGGGGATAGTACAGAGTTGGAGCACCAGGAAATATGGGCAGATATGGTCGTATGGCATTGTATACATGAATGAAATCCTAGAAGAATAATAAAAAAAACTTTGAGGGCTAAGAATGTGGTTCATTTGGTAGGACGCTTGCCTAGCCACACACAGGGCTCTGGGTTCAACCCCCAGTTCCACAGAGAACCAGGCAAGATGGCATATACCTGTAATCCCAGCACTCAGATGGTAGAGACAGTAGAGACAGGAGGATCAGGAGTTCAAGGCCATTGTTGACTACATAGTAATATCAAGGCCAGCCTGGAATTCCTTAGACCCCCATGCCAAAGATTTGGTGAAAAAAAGATGTTATAATAAAATATGCTAGACACGGAAAATAGTAGTGAACTTCATTCTGAAGCTGCTTTGAGGCCTGCTGCACCTGCACACCATATGCGTGTGCAAATAGCCACGGTGCCACGTGGCGGAGGAATTCCTGCAGTGGTGAGTAGGGTGGGCCGTGGCAAACTTCTCTCTGTCTGGACCTTGTGTCCAGGAAGAATCCTGGAACCTCGCTCCTTGTCAGAGTTGCTTTCTTCACAGACTGCTCTGTTTGCTGGAGTCTGGCGGGGTTGAAGACAGTTCCTGCTGTCTCTGAGATGTGCCTAGTTTAGGGGAGGTCATTTGTGCCACTTCAGAAACATTTGAGAGTTTTGTCGTTTGTTTGTGATTCTGGGGAAGGGTACCCAGGTTCTTGTATGTACCCCATCTTCACTGCCAGCCCAAATTTCACTTTTATTTTCTATATTAGAGAGGCAGAGAGAGCATGTTCAGACTTTGTTGTATTTTTTTGGTGTGTGTGTGTGTGTGTGTGTGTGTGTGTGTGTGTATGTGTGTGTATGTGTGTGCATGTATGTGTGTGTATGTGTGTGCATGTATGTGTGTGTGTGTGTGTGTGTGTGTGTGTATGTATGTTGCATGTCCATATGTTGGAGGGGCAGATCACAGAAGGATGCTGGGTGTTCTGTTCTCTCCATTTCTCCATCTACTCTCTTGGGACAAGGTTTCTTGCTGAACCCAGAATCATCCTGACAGTCAGTAAGCCCTAGCTGTTTTCTCTGTCTTCTGGATACCTTCCACTCCCTAGTGCTGGGGGCCACAGGCATGCATGACCACACATGGCTTTTTATGTAAGTGCTAGGGACCTAAACTCAGGTCCTCATGCTAATGCCTCGCGCTAATACCCCGGCCTCTGTCCAGCTTTTTTACGTTGTAGTTACATTGTCATCTGCGGAGTTCATGCTCAAGCGCTATACAATAATATTACTAAAAAAAACCTGCAAAAATGTCTTCCAATGTTTTAGGGAAGTCCGTGAGTTAGAGTTGGGCTGTGTTCATATATATCCCAGGTACCCACGGCCGCAGTGGATATGCCTGGGCGCGCCTGCAGAGCTTTTCAGTTTTCTTCCTTTCCTGTTGCAGATCTGAAGAAGACGCTGGCTGTGTTGCTGGATAACATCTTGCAGCGCATTGGCAAGCTTGAGTCGAAGGTGGACAATCTCGTCAATGGCACAGGAGCAAATTCCACCAACTCCACCACAGCTGTCCCCAGCTTGGTCTCACTTGACAAAATTAATGTGGCAGGTAAGGATGGCCATTCCTTGTGCAGCCACGGCTTTGAGCCCTGCCTGAGATCCCAGCACCAGCGCTCTACTGGCACAGTGTATACTCCCTAAGCTTGATGACTGTTGTGAAGGCAAGCTTGTGTTTATTTTTGACTAACAGATAGTGGAATGCCTTCATGGTCCCCTCAGAATACCTGGTGGTTTCTCTGATACGTTTGCAGATAAAGAACTCCTAGAATTGGCTTTTACTGATAGGATTCAGAACCCAGATTAAGTGAAATATAGAGTTTATCAGAGGAGCTCCCAAGGATGAGTTTTTTTCTGCCCAGATCCGGGCAGCTGCAAAAGTCTGCTAGTTCTTAGGATGTGGCAATGCGGTCCTGTAATCCCAGCACTTTGTGTGGGAGTTTATTAAGGAGTTCAGGGTCATCCTCGTCTGTACAGGGAATTTGAGGCTGTCCTGGGAGAATCTCTCAGGAAGCTAAAACAGCAACTGCCAAAGCTGAGGAATTTTAACAGAAGGTAAGACAGTACTGCTCTATCTTCCTTAACACAGAGTGTGAAGTAAGCTGTCCGTGGCTGCAGGCAAATATAAATGAATGATTAAATTCATATGAAAAATGGAAAAAAATGGAAGAATGCAAAATAATTTCTTATTATACAGATGTTACTCTGGCAAGCAAGGAGAACTCCCTGCCCATAAGTGGAGGATGAGTGTCATGATTGGGTCCCCAAGGTCATAAGAGAGGAAGAAAGAGGGAATTTAGGGGCTGGAGTGTGGCTCAGCTGGTAGGGTGCCTACTTACCATGGACAAGGCCCTGGGTTCAGTCCCCTGTTCAGGTGTGGTGGTGCTAACCTGTACTCTGAGTACAGATCCCAGAAGCAGGGGGATCAGGAATTTGAAGTCATCCTCTGTGGCATAGTGAGTTTGAAGCCAGCCTGGGCTACGTGAGACCCTGTCTCAAGAAATAAAAATAGCCTGGCAGTGGTGGTACACACTTTTAATCCCAGCTCTTGGGAGGCAGAGGCTGACGGAACTCTGTGAGTTTGAGGCCAGCCCCTGTTCTACAGAGTGGTACAGGCTCCAAAGCTACACAGAGAAACTCTGTCTTTCAAAACCAAACAGAAACAAAAACAAAAAAATCAAGACAAAAGAGGGGGGAGAGGGAGAGAGAGAGAAAGAGAGAAGACCAGGTAGCCAGTGTGATAGAGGCCCCCAGATCCTTGAAGTTTAAGACGCCTGGCTACTAGCTGTGGTAGCTTCTTGCTAAGGCAGGGTTGCCGCTGTACACAATGCCTCTGTGTGTTATGGAATGCCAGGTGGACACTTTCACATGATTTCCACAGGGATGCATCTTGCCTGGCCCCTTCTCAAAACTGGAAGGGAAGGGAAATGATCGAAAGGAAAACCTAAGTCTTATACCAAAGGCCGTTGCCCACACTTTGCCTTGAGTCTGAGTCTGCCATTGCCTCACAGAACCTTGAAGTCCACCCTGAGCCTGTGTGTGCGTGAGTCCCAGTTCCTCTTGGCAGGATGACCATAGTCTCAGGTGTAGGGCTGGAGGTGAGGCACTTTGGAGAGGTGGTTGTGAACAGCTGTCCAGGCTTCTGGTATGTTGTATCCCCTAGCTGTGATTAGAAGATAACAGCTCAGCTGTTAAGAGCACTTCTTGTGCTTCTAGAGTCCTGGGTTTCGTTCCCAGCACCCATATGGCTCTCAACTGCCTATAACTGCAATTCTGAGGGGGCATGATGCCTTCTTATGGACATCTCAAGCATCAGGCACACACATGGTGCACACAGACATACATGCAGGCAAAATGCACCCCCCCCCCACACACACTATTTGAAAGATGAAGTTAAGTAGCCATGTTACTTTTGAATTTTTAAAGATCAAGTTTTAAGGGACTAGGGATATAGCTCCATTGGCAGAGTGCTTGCCTTTCAGACACAGAGCCCTGGGTCCCAGCGCTGCCTGAAGAAGGGAGTGGCAGTGGGCACTGTACTCTCCGTGCTTGTGTTTGGAGGTGGAAGCAGTCTGATCAGTAATCCAGGGTCATCCACAGCTACACAGTCAGTTCTGGGCTACACCGGCAGGTTGTGATCAACAAACAAATAGATCAGTAAAGGCAGCCTGGTTTCGCACACACCCTAGCTGCTTTCTCTCTCTCCTCTCTTGTGACGACTCAGCAACCCGAAAGTAGGAGAGATTTTTCTCTTCCTTTCCTGCCTCTCAAAGTCAAATCAGTTACTTTCCCATTGTGTGAACTGGGTGAATTACCTTTTACTTATGGCCTTTTGCCCCTTAGCAAGGTTTAATTCACAAACACTATTTCTAGTAATCTTCGTATCTCACCAAAATGTTAAAAATAACTTTTAATTACAACACAGAGACAGTGTCACCTAGGCTATAAATCCTGTCTTTCTTGCCATTTCCAGCAGCTTCTGTAATTAGACAAGGAAACCTCCTGCTGTGGGGAGACGCTTATTAATGAGTGGGCGCTGTGCCTGTGCAGGCTCTGGTTGCAGTGCCCACTCCTGTCTGACTTCATCATGGTGTTAGGTGATCTGATTTGGAAGATAGGGCTCTGTGTGTGTGTGTGTGTGTGTGTGTGTGTGTGTGTGTGTGCACTCATGTTTACAGTTGTTTGTACTGTGCCTCTTACTCTTCTGCATGCATGTGGATGTTGGAAGTCAACATTGGATGTCTTCCTCAATTGCTTTCAGCTTTCTCTTTTGAGGCAGGGTCTCTTCCTGGCCTAGAGATCACTGATTAGGCTGGCCAGGCTGGCCCCAAGATCCCGCCTGCCCTTACCTTCCCAGTTCTGGGGTTATAGGTACATTTTTATGTGTTTACTCAAGTCTTCATGGCCATGGGGCAAGCACTTTACCTACTGAGCCATTTTCTAAGCTCCCAGCATGGTGTTTTCTGTTTTTAAGTCTGTTGTGTCATGGTCAACCATGTAACCGAAGGGCCTGGAGAGACTTTGATGACATCACTCTCCCTGATGTAGAACCTTATGGCCTTTTGCTGTCCAAGTTTGGGACCAGTCTATAGACACAGGCCACTCTTTATGAGTGTCAGGTCCCAGGGCACAGTGTCATGGGTGATCCATCTCAGGAGTGACATGGGGTAGATGCTTTCCATTGGGATGCTTGCCAGCCCTGTGTACCGTGCTAGTTAACTCAGCTAACAAACGTCTGTGGGGCTCATTCTGGAAGCTGGTGACTCAGACTGAAGCTACCATGGACGTGTTTATAGTAGTTAGTGAATTTAATATAATACAAATGCCGGAATGAAGGGCTGGGGAGGTGGCGCAGTGATTAAGTGCATGTGCTGCTCCTGTAAAAAATGCAAGTTCAGGTCCCAGCACCCATGTCAGCTCACTCACAACTACCTGTAACCCTGGTCCTGGGGAGTCGGACGCCTTCTAGCCTGCGCACAAGTGGACATACTCACTCATGTATACATAATTTTAAAAAAGGAAAAACTCAGAAAGATGCTGGGTGGATTTTTGTTGTTCATTTTAGAAGTAGGAGCAAATTCAGCGTCAGAATTGTTTTGTTTGGAGACGGAGTCTATATTAGTTACATCTCTGTTGCTGTAATAAAATGTGTATTTTACCATGCCAAGGCAACATATAGAAGGAAGTGTTCATTTGGCTTGCCGTTCCAGAGGGATAGGGTCCAGCATGCGGGGAGGGACAGAGAGCATGATAGCAAGCAGCAGGCATGGTGGGTGGAGCAAAAGCTCAGGGCTTAGATCTCAAGCCACGAGCAAGCCGGAGAGTAAGTTCACTAGAAATGGCTCGCATCTTTAGACTCTCAAAGCCCATCCCCAGTGACAAACTTCCTCCAGCAAGACTGCACCTCCTCCACCTCCCCACATGGTGCCATAAACTGGGGACCAAATGTTTAAATGCCAGACATTGTTGGGGACAAACCACCACGTGGCCACATGTTTCCTAGGCTGGTCTTACGTGGCCAAGACTTCAAACTTCGTATCCTTATGCCTCCACCCCCCCAGTGCTGGGATTACAGATGTGAGGTCCCACACCACATTTTATGGGATAGTGGGGATGCAACCCAGGGCCTTATGCATACTAGACAAGTACTCTACTAACTGAGCCATATTCCTAGCCTACGAATTAAATTCGTAACAACCCCGTGCTCATGCCTTTGTGACCTCATGTTTAGATACACTCCATACCATACCTTCAGTGTTCTTACTGGATAATTAGGGAAAGATTATCCACACATAAAGTAACACACTATGGTCATTGTGAGGTAGGATGATTATGGAGGGATTCTTTTGGGAGGCTATATTCTGGGGCTAATTGGAATTGAGGCCTAAGAATCTTGCGGAGGAACAGCTTCCTAGCAATGGATTGTGACCTCAAGAAAATGAAAAGAGAAGAGAGGAAGCTCAGAGCAAGTGTGCAGCAGGCGCCTCTTCCTCTCCTGCTCTTCCAGGGTCTGTACCTTGGCTTAATCTGTTTCGCATTTCTGAGAAGCCAGTACTTTGACATGTTTTACTGAGTTTAAGTATTCTGGAAAGGGAAGAGCTCCTGGTACCAGTCTCCAAAAGGCCCTGTGTGACCTCTGTGTCAGTTAACTCTACTCATTACCATGCCAGAGTACGTGACAGTTTGAGGACACAGTTTGCCATGGCAGGGAAAGGATGGAGCGTGAGCCTGAGGCATCTGGTCACGTGGCATCCTCAGGAAGCAGAAGGAGGTGGATACTGCTG